TGGGACGTGGCACTGCCCTGCTCCTCCTGCCCATAGCGCAGCCACCGCTCTGGGGACAGGGACAGGGATGTCACCAGGGCACAGGGATTGTCACCATGGGTCAGGGAATGTCACACAGGGCCCCTCCTGCCACTGCTCTGGGGGCACGGATAGGAATGTCACCAGATTTGGGGACACCTGGGGATCCCCAGGAGGGATTTCGGGACATCCTGGGGATCCCCAAAAGGGATTTGGGGTAATTTTGGGATCCCTAAGAGGGATCTGGGATCATTTTGGATCCCACAAAAGGGATTTGGGATCATTTTGGGAGCCCCAAGAGGGATCTGAGGTCATTTCGGGATCCCCAAGAGGGATTTGGGATAATTTTGGGTCCCACAAAAGGGATTTGGGGTAATCCCCAAGAGGGATTTAAATTATTTTGGGATCCCCAAGAGTGATTTGGGGTTCCTTTGGGACCCCAAAAGAAATTTGGGGTAATTTTGGGATCCCCAAGAGGGATTTGGGATAATTTAGGGACGCCCAAAAGGGATCTGGGGTAATTTTGGGATCCCCAAAAGGGATCTGGGGTAATTTTGGGATCCCCAAGAGGGATCTGGGGTCACCTCAGGATCCTCAAAGTGAGACCCCAAGGGGGAGGCACAGGAGGGGCTGATTCCTAAAAACCCAGCGGGGATTTAGGCACAAAGAAACGTGATTTGGGCTAAAATCTCCTAAAAAAAAAAACAACGCAAAACCCAGAGAATTCAGGCAGAGCGAAACGGAATTTGGAATAAATCCCCAAAAACTGAAGGGGGATTTGGGAGCAGAGAAATGGAATTTGGGCTAAACCCCTTAAAAATCAAGATTAAAAAAAAGAAAAAAAAAAAAAAAGACGCTTTAAAAGCCCTCAAATCTGTTTTTTCTCCCCCCTTAGGGCAGGATTTGAGCGGATTTCTCCCTTTACACACAGCCCGAGGGGAATCCCTCGCTCCCGGCCGGAATTTCCTGCCGGGCTCCCGGCGGGGTTCCGGGCGGGCTCCTGAGGGAGAAGGCGCCGCTTTGGGTGGGAAAAGGCCAATTTTGGGAAAATCCGCGCCCGGGAATGCTGCGGGAACAAAGGGAGGGCGGCACGCGGAGGCCCGGGAGCGCCTGGCCGGGGCCGAGGCCGCGGCTGTGAGGGGAAAGCCGCCGCTGCGGGGCGGGGCGCGACGCCCCGAGGGCCCAGGCCGCGGTTTTGGGGTGAAAAGCCGCAGATTTGGGCTCGGAGCGCCCCGAGCTGAGGGGCCCGGCCGCCGGGCCTGGGGGCGGGGCCAGCAGCGCGCCGCCGCACGCCATTGGTCAGAGCCGCCGCGCGCCGCGCCCTGATTGGCAGCGCGCCCCACCGCGCGCCGCGGCCCCGCCGCGCGACTATTGGGCGGCGGAACCGTCACTCCGAGCGCCGCCCCGCCTGCCCTGCGCCGCTATAGGTCAGCGCGCCTGTCACTCGGCTCGCCGCCCCGCCTCCCGCTCGCTGCTATTCAACACCGCGCCCGCCACTCCCCGCGAGGCCCCGCCTCCCGCCCGCACCCATTGGCCGCCGCGCCTGCCCGTCACGGCGGCGGGCCCGCCCCCGCGCTGCCGCCCGTCCATCCGCCGCCCGCCGCCGGCGCTACCTGCGCGGAGAGCGGCTCCGGCGCGGGCCCGTCCGCCGCGGTCTGGCCGCCCCTCCGAGCCGCCGCCGCTCCGCGCTCCGCCCGCCAAAACCGCCCGCAGCGCGCAGGCGCCGCCGGCGGCGCTCCGCGCATGCGTCCGCCCGCCTTTTCCCCCCCCTCTCCCCAAAGCCCACCGCGATGGGCGCATGCGCTGCCGCGGCCGCACCTTGGGGCCGGCGGGCGGGCGGCCTCTGCTCGCCGCCGCCGCCGGGAGTCGCCGCCGCCTCCCCGCTCTGCGCCCGCCGCGCCGCGCTCGCCGAGCTGCGCTGGGCCCGCCGCCGCCGGCGCTGATGGACGGCCGCGCCCGCCAATGGGCACCGTCCCCCCGCTCTCCCAGCCAATGAGCGCCTGGCGAGGGGCGGGCCCTGTTTCTTTCCAACCAACCAGCGGCGCGCCGGGGAGTCTCCGGGCCGGAGCGGGAAAAGCCACGCGGGGCGTGTCGGCAGCGCTTCTCCCCAATCCCCGCGGCGCAGGGGCGGGACGTTTCGGCGCGCAGCCAATCAGCGGCGGCGCGGGGGGCGGAGCGCGGCGAGGCGGCCAATGGGGCGGCGGCGTTGTGAGGCGGCAGCCAATGGGCGGCGGCGCGGGGGCCGCGCGGGCGGCGGGGGCGGCGGGGTGAGGCGGCGGCGCTCGCGGCGCTCGGCCCCTTTCCGTGTCGGCCCTCGCAGAGGGAGCATCGCGCGCCGCCGCCACCGCCCCGCGCCGCCGCCATGGCCAAGGCCGAGGTCAGCAGCGGCGCCCGCCCCGCTCCCCGCCGATCCGCGCGCCCCGTTGTTTGTTTTTTTTTTTTTTTTTTTT